AAAGACAGCCAGTCATTAACTTGTGCTAAAGACCACTTACCATTACAGCTATTTTAAGTTGTTTTCTACCTTACACAAATTATTAATGTATTATCTTTTTGACATTGTTCTTTCTGTGTGGTTCACTATGACCTTTCCACATTTTTGTGTTGTCTTGTGACTTATCAGTGTATGGTTATACTTTAACTTTAGTTCTTCTTCTTTCATTATGGTTATTCCATATTTTATCACTTCTTCTATTTCATTATGGTTATTCCAAATTTTTATCACTTCTTCTATTTCATTATGGTTATTCCAAATGAAATAGAAGAAGTGATAAAAATTTGGAATAACCATACAATGAAATAGAAGAAGTGATAAAAAATCTGGAATAACCATAATGAAATAGAAGAAGTGAAAAAAATCGGAATAACCATAATGAAATAGAAGAAGTGATAAAAATCTGGAATAACCATAATGAAATAGAAGAAGTGATAAAAAATCTGGAATAACCATAGATGTTTTATCACTTCTTCTATTTCATTGTAGTTACTCTAGATGTTTTATCACTTCTTCTATTTCATTATGGTTATTCCAGATTTTTTTTCAGATGTTTTAAATTTATCCAACCGTACTTCAGCTTATTGAGTCTGATAAAACATGAATGTATTTTATGATATTTTACTTTTCTTATCTTTTAACAGGTAGTTTCACATTTTCAATTATATTTATCTTTTTATTGAGTTTGTTTCATTCATGGGATTCTAGAACTTTTTAATTATGTTTCTCACTAATATTTATTGTTATACCTTCCATTGAAGTTAAAGAAAGTATTTCGATTTCCCATATTCATGATTCATTCCTGTGTCCAAGATTCATCCATGTGTTCATCCCTGTATTCATATTTCCCTGAAAATAAGAAATGCTTCGTTTGTTTAATAATTGTAGGTATGCATTTTCGCTAGGTATTATCCGCTATGATTTTTATGTTTGAAGAAGATTCTTCTTTAACGTTTTGATTTTATGTAATATTAAAAATGACTCTTCCTATTAGAATGCCCCTTCTTTTCACATATATGTATATATATGTATGTGTGTGTTTTCTCAATTAAACAGTTTAGAAATATACTTGTTTTGCATGATCAGTCGATCACTATTTTATATCTAAGATCAATTTCAATAACCAGAAACACTCAGGCGGAAGTATGATTCACAGAGAAATGATGCAACTTTTAAAAGATGAAAACAAGTCATATTTCCATAACACAACTATTTTTATTTAGTTTTAACTTTATTCTTAATGCTACAGTTGTCTTCCAAGTTTAAGAAAAACATGCGATTATTAAAATATCTAAGAAAATATTGAAAGTAACAAAACTGAAGTTATTATATTAATACATGTAAATAATATCACCTAAACGTATTATGCAGTACAAACATATCATACACTAACGTTTCGTTTCATTGCTACATAATGGACTGACTATATGCGCTCTGTCCACAGCGGTGAATGTAGCCCGGATCCACCTGGGGACATATAGCACTAGGAACTAATAAGATGTGTGTCCACAGTGGTGAGTGGAGCCCGGATCAACCAGAGGACATATAAGTACTAGGAACTAATAAGATTTGTGTCCACAGTGGTGAATGGAGCCCGGATCCAACCATAGGACATATAGCACTAGGAACTAATAAGATTTGTGTCCACAGTGGTGAATGGAGCACGGATTCACCAGAGGACATATAGCACAATGAACTAATAAGATTTGTTTTTCTAATTAATTTCTTGGATAAAAACTAAGTACAAATACTCGTGTCACCTCTGCCTGTTTTTTTAAAACTATGTTGAATTACTGCGCCATTAAAGCTTTTTCAATACATGAGTCTTTTATGATCCACTTTATAATATGCATAAATTAAATTAGATATTCAGTTACAAAGATTTGTAGTGGTTTTTAAGTTTATTTATGGTTTATAGCTGTCTTAGTATCCAGATGTTTTTAATATTTCTGTTTTCTAGTTTTATGAGACTCCCTGCAATCGGTTCTACCAAAAATGTGCCTCGTAGGACTCAAGAAAGCGTAAACGCATTTCTGTCGTGCCAGTGTTACATTTGAATAATTCATCACAGTCAAAAATCAGTGTAGTTATTGTAGTTTTTCAACTTACGGTATACCTTTCTTTGGTTACCTATTAGATATTTCATATTTCTAACGTTGAGAAGGCAAGTAGCTTTGCAAAAAGCCATAAAATCTAAGAGCCAGCTCAAAAGGCAAAAGAAGCACGAGTTTCTATTATATAGATTTTCTCTGAGAAATAAAACCAAACTATGTTTGTTTTCTTTACAGTTTTGAAACTGAATGGTTGAAGAGAACTATATAAATTATGGCTTTTATTGTAATAAGCCACCTTGATTCTCTCGAAATTACAAATAAAACATACACCTTGTTCATAAATCAAATATGATTACATCTTGGAATGCATACACAAATTCTATTCCTTTAGTAACACCAACTTAAAACTACATCTTATGTACTAGCATCTTATGGGAACTTTGATAAGTAGAGGTATAAATAGATTGTTGTAGGACACCAAGAAAAACAAATGAAGTTTTGTGAAGACACAACTATAAAATGCTAAACGACTAGTATATAAAAACGACTAGTATGGAATGATCCGTAAATTGATTGTAGAGTCTGCTTAACCCAGAATGCAACATACACGATCTATACTTAGAGTAATTGATCTGTGAACAAAAATTACGAAGACATGTACATTAATCATTTCTCATTCTTGTTGTTTTAGTATCTTAGTGGCTTACCAGTTGGTTTCAATATCGTATACTGCAGTAGGCTCATTTATAAAATCTGTATTATAATTATACTTTAATAATAAAACCAGTTGAAACTATACCTTTTCACTCTAAATAAATCACTCTTATTATGGTGAATCAAAAAATTAATGGGTCTTATGCTGTTAAAACCTTTATTGAAATATAAGGTTAGTATAACGGATAAATGGGTGACTCATTACTGTGTGAGAAACACGCTGTTTGGAAGTATATGGGTTCATATATGTAATAGCTAATACATGAAACAGTTTCTTTCTAACACAGAGCACTTATTGGTTTCATGTCAATAAGATTTACTAAATATATAGCACTTTCATGAGATACTTTTATTAATGGCATTCCCATTTTTTACGCATGTAGGGTTAAACTGTTTAGTCTCAGTGAAAAAGGCTGCAAAGTTATGAAAGTTAGAAAATAACAAGTTTACATATAACAGTTGTGGAAAAAATATGTTTACATATAGCAGCTGTGGAAAAAAATATGTTTACATATAGCAGCTGTGGAAAAAAAACATGTTTACATACAGCAGTTGTGGAAAAAACATGCATATTTATTTATAAAATTTATTTTTACGGTTTTTTTGATAAATGTGAAAAAAACTGATTGCATTTTAAAAGGTAATAATCTTTCTTTATGCCAGAGATTTCTTTTGCTGTCACTTTCTGATGAAATTAATGTTTTAGAATATGTATTACAAAGTTTCAAGACATTAACTGCCATATTTGTTAGAACAGGCGTTTGGGATTCTTAATTTGTGTTAGATTAACACGACAAGAGTTTGGGTTCAGAAATTAACAGATGTGATATTTATTAATACTTCGACAAGTAAATAATCTATCAAGCAACTTCTATTATTTAAAAAAAACAAACAAACTTGAGACCAAAATAATGTGAGATTATAATAGCGATATGTTTCAGTTATATCTTAACATCTGACATTTATCATTGAATGTTATGCCAAAAGTGTGGAATTTTTAACTATATGCGCCAGAAGCTCTCAGTATTAGTGAAATGGCGTCTGACGTTTTAGTAAAGGATCTAAAGCAACGTAGAAAATTAATAAAATTACATACAAATAAACCCAAATTCAATTAAAACCTAAGAACCTTATATGGAATAGATGTTGTTTATACATACGTCCAAAGTGGGATTAAGTCATCCTAAAGATATGTACATACGTCCAAAGTGGGATTAAGTCATCCTAAAGATATGTACATACGCCCAAAGTGGAATTAAATCATCCCAAAGATATATATACATATGTTCAAAGTGGGATTAAGTCATCCTAAAGATATATACATACGTCGAAAGTGGAATTAAATCATCCCAAAGATATATATACATATGTTCAAAGTGGGATTAAGTCATCACAAAGTTATATACATATGTCCAAAGAGGGATTAAGTCATCCCAAAGATATATATACATATGTTCAAAGTGGGATTAAGTCATCCCAAAGATATATAAATATGTCCAAAGTGGGATTAAATCATTCCAAAGATATATACATATGTCCAAAGTGGGATTAAGTCATCCCAAAGATATATACATATGTCCAAAGTGGGATTAAGTCATCCCAAAGACATATACATATGCCCAAAGTGGGATGAAGCTATTCCAAAGATATATACATATGTCCAAAGAGAGATTAAGTCATTCCAAAGATATATACATATGTCCAAAGAGGGATTAAGTCATCCCAAAGATATATAAGTATGTCCAAAGTGGGATTAAGTCATCCCAAAGATACATACATATGCCCAAAGCTGGATTAAGTCATCCCAAAGATAATTTAGAAGATGAAGAAGATCTTCAAAATGATACAGCATTTTGCTAATCTCATTAGAGAATCATGTTTTGTTATAACTAGTTTTGTTACTTTTGTCTTCAGTTTTAACCATCGGAAATCCATCTGGGTACCACGTGTTAAAAGAGATGCATCGAGTAGACCTTTATTTAAAATATTTATTTTATTTCATATTCCACCTCTTTTGGAGGCATTATTTGAACACTTAGTTGAATCTAGGAAATCCTAGATTTTCTTCGATGTTGGAAATCATGAAACAGTTTAACAAACTAAGTTATAAACTAGACAAAGAAAAGCTTAACAACAGACTGCAGCTGGAGACAGGACAACAATTCTAGTTGGAAACAGTTTAAAAGAAAAGTAGGCAAAACAAACTTGTCCACTAGAAATCTTTACTAAAACTATTTCACTCTTGCTTGGCAACCTTTTTTGTGACGCCCACTAAAAGGTTTGCATTATTTTGTATATTAAGTGGCGTGTTTATGTTTTTTGTCATCGTAACACACCTGTATAGTCTGAATTTTAAATTACACGTATTCGATCACATTGCTGTTAATACAAAAAATAAGACTTAGTTAGAAGGCAGTGTCACAGTACAGTACCAAAGATCTGTAGAAAATACACGAAAATGTTTTTTTGATCAGTTTAGAAACGATAAGCAGGTTAGATTCTGAAACATACATTTGACAAAGTAAGTGATACATTGAAATGAAGATGTTAAGACGGTGCTTTGTGTAATTTACCCAAAGAATCGAACCGTAATTGAACCCTACTTGTTCGTCATTTTGAAACCTTCGCTACACTGGGAAAGAGTTATTTCTATGCTGTTACAAGAGCTGAAACGTAGAGTTGATTAATATTAGTATAAAGTGTATGTTTGAAGTAAAGCACAAAGCTACACAATGGGCTATCTGTGCTCTGCCCACCACGGGTATAGAAACTCGGTTTTTACCGTTGTAAGTACGCAGACATGCGGCTGTGCCACAGTGGAGGGGCTAAAGTGTGTGTGTGTGTGTTTCTTATGGCAAAGCCACATCGGGCTATCTGCTGTGCCTATCAATGGGAATCGAACCCCTGATTTTAGCGTTGTAAATCCGTAAACTTGCTGCCGGTAGGGTAAAGTAGAAAACATTTTTCACTAATAACACAATTTTGTAAGTGATTTTTATCAATATCAACAATATTGGTTAATCTATGAAACATTTTGTTAAATTGTGTTAAATATAGATGCAATATGATATAAACATGATCGAAACAGTTTTCTAGGTGTTTTAGATCCAAAGTGGAAATACAAAAACGAGACATGTTTAAAACAAAATTGAGATCCTTTTCCTGTAGACCAAAATTGTCAAAAAACCCACAAAAACATACTAACGTATGCGTGAAGGGAGTAAGCAAGGACCCAGATAACACTCGTTACCATAGTTACTATAAAGTACGATTCAGATTCCCTATTATTCCGTGAGCTTCATTATAAGTTATAGAATTCAGGTATATACAACTGCTTTAGGAACTTTAGGTGTCTGGAAGCGTTGACCACGCAAGTCATCTTTGAAATGGCCAAAGAACTGTAACTCACAAGCGCTTTGTCGGGACTGTATGCAAGAGGGGAAATGACTGTCCATCCGAGCTTTATAAATTTAGTCGTGTCCGGAGAGTATTATGAATTCGACATTGTAATGTGTTCTAGCAGTGTACAGGTTCAAATAATAATTCATCGGACGCTAGTTTCTCGTATTCAGCGTATAAAAAAATATAAATAAAAAGTGCTTTGTTCATATCACTCGCACTTTTTATAATATTTCAATGAAAAAGCGTCAGAATTTGATTTGCTGAATAAACTAAATTAGACTACGTACTGGTATTCGGCTTGAACGTAACTTAATCCAGGTCGAAATTCATGAGTAAACTGAAATCTAATGAATTGTGGGTGTGTTTAATCCAGATCGAAGTTCATGAGTAAACTGAAATCGAATGAATTATTGGTGTGTTTAATCCAGATCGAAATTCATGAGTAAACTGAAATCGAATGAATTATTGGTGTGTTTAATCCAGGTCGAAGTTCATGAGTAAACTGAAATCGAATGAATTATGGGTGTATTTAATCCAGATCGAAATTCACGAGTAAACTGAAATCGAATGAATTATAGGTGTGTTTAATCCAGGTCGAAGTTCATGAGTAAACTGAAACCTAGAGATTTAAAATCACTTTCTCTATGTTTTTGCAAGTTAAGCATTTACAGTGTACATAATTTTGTAGTTTTTTATATTAATCTGAACGCGCTTTGTGCACTACAGCAGAATACATCTTGTAACATAATTGGGAGTGTAATGGATAGGTTTTACTTCATCGTAATTTAACATGACAACAATACTTTATCATCTAAACCAGTTCAACATGTAAAATGGTTAACCAAAACGTTATTCAGAAAGCCAGTTATCTTACACCTGCTAAACATTAAAGATATTCACCAATTTGTTAATATATTATTACAGTTATTTAATCATCACATCATAGTTATAGACTAATGGACAGCACAAAAGGACAATAAATAGATTATATATATATATATATATTATTATTATTATTGCCTTAAGAAGAGGTTACAACATTGTAATTACGTATAACATTTAGAATCTGAATTTCTCTGAAACAATTTCATTTGAAAATTGGCCCAATTAAAGAAAACTAAGGCAGATCAAATATTAAAACAGCTCGATAGAATCAATAGGTTCATAACATCACTATCGAGTCTTCATGATTACTTAGATCCATTTTGTTTAAATGAGCTTTATTACATTATTGCATAGCCAGTATATTCTTATGACTTGCAAAACGTTCATTCTATGTATTATAACAATTAGATGTTGGACCTAGAATTACGTTCACAGTATTAACTGGATGGGCATTTAGTAGAGTGCATACATAGACCCAGAATTACGTTCACAATATTAACTGGATGGGCATTCAGTAGAGTGCATACATAGACCCAGAATTACGTTCACAGTATTAACTGGATGGGCTCTCAGTAGAGTGCATACATAGACCTAGAATTACGTTCACAGTATTAACTGGATGGGCATTCAGTAGAGTGCATACATAGACCCAGAATTACAGTATTAACTGGATGGGCATTCAGTAAAGTGCATACATAGACCCAGAATTACGTTCACAGTATTAACTGGATGGGCATTCAGTAGAGTGCATACATAGACCCAAAATTACGTTCACAGTATTAACTGGATGGGCATTCGTAGAGTGCATACATAGACCCAGAATTACGTTCACAGTATTAACTGGATGGGCACTCAGTAGAGTGCATACATAGACCCAGAATTACGTTCACAGTATTAACTGGATGGGCACTCAGTATAGTGCATACATAGACCCAGAATTACAGTATTAACTGGATGGGCATTCAGTAAAGTGCATACATAGACCCAGAATTACGTTCACAATATTAACTGGATGGGCATTCAGTAGAGTGCATACATAGACCCAGAATTACAGTATTAACTGGATGGGCATTCAGTAAAGTGCATAAAT